AACACTGAATATGATGAAAGTTGAAAACTTTTCCAGGTTGACGACATCGTCATGCAATCGTTCATTCGTGATTGCCCAAACCCGTGCTGGTTTGTGTAAAAAGGAAACGACTTTTCGAAGAACAAATCTTTTCAATCATTTCAATCAGGCGAAGAAGATTCATTAACAATTAATAATTCAAATTCTTATGCACAACAAAATGAAAGCACACCGGTGATTTGAGGTAAAAATTGGGGAAAATGGGAAAGAAAAGAGTAAAAGAGATTCAAAAATGAGTCATTTGTAACTTTAAATTGATCAAATTCAATATTCAAACAAACAATTCGGATCTTTACAAGGCTTTACTTCTTCTTGTTTACTTTCGTTTTCACACGCCGACGGGCGAGAAGAATCGCTGAAAAATGTTTTTTATTTCACAAATTTCGAGTTTCAACTTAGCTACAGAGTTAAAATTTGAAATGGTTGTACAATTCTAATAAAGTAAAGTATATAGTAAAGTATATAGTAAAGTTATTCGACACGAATAACGAATGACAACACAACGGAGGAAATTTTTACCCCTAATTACCCCTATTGCCGAAAAGTTGTTAAGAAAAAACCCATAATAACGGGAAAAAGAACCAATCTTTCTAGCCGCCGGGATTGAACCCTTAGCTAGGATTGAATTTGAATTGGGATTGAACGGGATTGAACCCTTAGCTAGGATTGAACCCTTAGCTAGGATTGAACCCTTAGCTAGGATTGAATTTGAATTGGGATTGAACGGGATTGAACCCTTAGCTAGGATTGAATTTGAATTGGGATTGAACGGGATTGAACCCTTAGCTAGGATTGAACCCTTAGCTAGGATAGAACCCTTAGCTAGGATTGAACCCTTAGCTAGGATTGAATTTGAATTGGGATTGAACGGGATTGAACCCTTAGCTAGGATTGAACCCTTAGCTAGGATTGAACCCTTAGCTAGGATTGAATTTGAATTGGGATTGAACGGGATTGAACCCTTAGCTAGGATTGAACCCTTAGCTAGGATAGAACCCTTAGTTAGGATTGAACCCTTAGCTAGGATTGAACCCTTAACTAGGATTGAACCCTTAGCTAAGATTGAACCCTAGGATTGAACCCTAGGATTGAACCCTTAGCTAGGATAGAACCCTTAGCTAGGATTGAACTAGAAGACAAGACTTCTATCCGGTCGGCTACGACGATAGTCTAATAGCAAAAAGAAATTTGTTCGGCTGTCCAGAACGTCTTTTCATTCCTTTTCGTACTTCTGTTTAAAACCAATAAATGCACCAATTGCAAACAGTTTGTTTCATTAGAAGAGCCAATTATTTTTCTGCAAAATAAAATTAAAACGTGGTGAAAATGTCTTATTTCTGGATCTTTTTGGGAGCTGATGAAGTCGGGTAGTCAAAAAGAGCCGGATGATTGTTTTTCTTGGAATTTCAAAGGGTTTAACAAACTCCAAATTTAATAGATTTCGTTATTAACAAGGAAACAAATGAAAATTGTGGCAGAAATGATAATTGCAATGCACTAATTCATTAATTTCTGCGACCCTTGTTTTACGTAAAATATTTTGAAACATGCTTTTTTTCATATTTTTCATATTTGAAAAAAATGTTAAAAACATTTTTTTTACTTAAAATCCTTGAAAAAACAATCAAAAAATATAAAAATTCTATTAAAGTGCATAAAGGATGGGTCGTTTTAACGAAAAAATTTGTTTATTCTTTACGCTGGATCGCTTTGGTGGTTGTTTGGCTGTCCAGGATAGAGTGTGTTCCTTGCAGACAACGCGTTTTCTAAAAAGCGCGCGCCAAGCTACCGTAACCCTATGCTTTGCATCAGCAAATTTTTCAAAATACACATGTTCATTAAAATCTTGCGCTCTTTTTTTCTATTACCCTTTCCTTAACTCTATTACCCTTTCCTTAACTCTATTACCCTTTCCTTAACTCTATTACCCTTTCCTTAACTCTATTACCCTTTCCTTAACTCTATTACCCTTTCCTTAACTCTACTACTCTTTCCTTAACTCTACTACTCTTTCCTTAACTCTACTACTCTTTCCTTAACTCTACTACTCTTTCCTTAACTCTATTACCCTTTCCTTAACTCTACTACTCTTTCCTTAACTCTACTACTCTTTCCTTAACTCTACTACTCTTTCCTTAACTCTATTACCCTTTCCTTAACTCTACTACTCTTTCCTTAACTCTACTACTCTTTCCTTAACTCTACTACTCTTTCCTTAACTCTACTACTCTTTCCTTAACTCTACTACTCTTTCCTTAACTCTATTACCCTTTCCTTAACTCTACTACTCTTTCCTTAACTCTACTACTCTTTCCTTAACTCTATTACCCTTTCCTTAACTCTACTACTCTTTCCTTAACTCTATTACCCTTTCCTTAACTCTACTACTCTTTCCTTAACTCTATTACCCTTTCCTTAACTCTACTACTCTTTCCTTAACTCTATTACCCTTTCCTTAACTCTACTACTCTTTCCTTAACTCTATTACTCTTTCGCTAAAAATTAAAAATTTTTAAATGCTATTTAAAATTAAAGAAAACATTTAAAACGGGAAAAGTTAAGAAACACTATTAAAAAATTATATTATTTACGAATTTACCAGGCCTATTGTCTACATTTGCAATAGAACCATTCCAAAAAAAAATTGCACGCCTAAAAAAAAACCTAAATCCTTAAATAAAACTATCCATTACAATATTTTAAGAAAAGTTTGCAAATTTTTTTCGCGCGACCTTTATAGCTTTGCTTAAAAAGCGCACCTTTTAGAAAACGCGTTGTCGGAAGTTTGTCGGATCAATTGTCTGACAAAAAAGCTGTCAATGAAAATTTGTCTGGCAAATTGTTTGTCAACAAGGAGCACACTCTAGTCCAGAAAGTCTTTTCGTTTCTTTTCGTTTCTTTTCATACTTTCGTTTAAAACCAATAAATGCACCAATTAAATTACGGTTTATTTCATTAGCAAAACCAACTATTTTTCTTTAAAATAAGATTAAAACGGGTTTCAAATGTTTTATGTTTGGATTTTTTTGAGAGCATGAAGTCGGATAGTCAAAAAGATGATTCGATTTAGACACTTTAGCTAAGGAAATCTATCTTCGTGTCATTAAATAAAAGATAGAGCATAAAAAGTTTAGTATATAGCTAAAGTAGCGTTTTCAATCAAAAAAAAAACTAATTTATAAAGAAATTCGAGGCTTTACCGTTTCAAATGATTTTCAAAACTCAAAAAAAAAAAAAAACTTGATCATTATCGTTATTCACTTGAAATCTTTAAATAAACTATCGAATTTGCTTGAAAGTGAACCCAAATTTGACTTCCGTTTAAAACCAACAAATACACCAATTGAACTACGATTTTTTTTAATTTGAAAGGCCAATTATTTTTCTGCAAACTAACATTAAAACAGGTTCAAATTGTCTTATGGCTTGATTTTTTTGGAAGCATAAAGTTGGGTAGTCAAAGAGTCGACTCGATGATTCTATTTAGACACTTTAGCTAAGGAAACCTATCTTCGTGTCAATAGATAAAAGATTGAGCACAAAAAGTTTGGTAGGTAGCCTAATTTTCAGAGAAATTCATTCAATCAATTTCTTCGTAGAGGCTTTTATAGTTTTTTTTGCGAGAAACACGATTTTCCCTTTCGAATTTGCTTGAAAGTGAACCGAATTGACTTAAAAAGATTGGAAATTGAACAATAAATGCTTTTTCTTTAGAGAAAACGATAGGTTAATTGGTGAATATTTGCTATTTTTCAACGAAAGTACGAAAAGAAATAAACAGACTTTCTGGAAAGGCTTTCATAACCGCCAACTGTATCATTCTTTTGCTTGTCGTGTTCCTCGTATTTGGAATAAGTTACCTTGTGATATTTTTTCGTCTCTGAACTATTTTAAATCCTCAATATATAAGCTCGATCTTGTAGCTGTGTCAATTTTAAATTAGTTTTTAATGTCATATATACACGTGTCTAATTGTAGTTGTGTTTGTATATCAATTATCTTTCTTCGTCTACGCTGTTCAATCTGTTTGCATTGTCACTTTTCCTTGTCGGATAAAGTATATATGTTGTGTCCGATTTAGATTGAACTTATCGCGGACGTCCGATTTAGATTACAGTCTATATCGGACGTCCGATACAGATCGAACAATAATAAACGTGCTTAATATATGTTCTTAAGCGTTTTTTTGCAATTTTCTGCGCTTTTCAAAGAAATTTTCAAAGAACATATGTTAAGCACGTTTATTATTGTTCGATCTGTATCGGACGTCCGATATAGACTGTAGTCAATAAAAGACCTTTGAAAAATGCAGAAAACTACAGAAAACGCTTAAGAACATATATTAAGCATGTTTATATTATTGTTCAATCCATATAAGATTTAGATTGAATCTAAATCGGACGTCCGATATAGACTGTAATCTAAATCGGACGTCCGCGATAAGTTCAATCTAAATCGGACGTCCGATTTAGATTCAATCTAAATCGGACGGAAATCTAAATCAGACACAACATATATATAAAAAGAAAGTGAACCGAATTGACTTAAAAAGATTGGAAATTGAACAATAAATGCTTTTTCTTTAGAGAAAACGATAGGTTAATTGGTGAATATTTGCTATTTTTCAACGAAAGTACGAAAAGAAATAAACAGACTTTCTGGAAAGGCTAATACTTGAAATGGTGTGCTAAAATTGAAAAATGCTGATTGAAAATGGATTTTAAGAAGAAATTGTAATATCTCGAAGTAAAGATTCAAAATTTTTTTTGAGTCAAGCCTGATATAGGTCTAGAAATATAAAGAGGTTCCTTTGCAAATTGAGAAATCTTTTTTTCCGCACAACCCTTGCAAAAAAAGATTGAGTTCCACTTTTGAACGAATCAAGTCATAAGTTTCCATGCTAGTGATTGATTAAATTTATATAGAATATGAATATTTCGAATTTTGATTCCAAACTCTTACCGTTTTCGCTGCCCATTCTCGTCAAAAACATCGCTCAACTTGCGACTCCGTTTGGCGATGCATACACTGAAATTCGGAGAATTTGAAATGAAAAATATTCCCGAAAAATCATATCAAAATCAAAAGTCACTTAAACTTTAAAAAGTCATTTCAAATGAAAATAAATTCTTAAAAGCTTTTTGCTTACCGTTTCCTTTTCTGCACACCACAATCGCATTCCGACCATTCCGACCATCTTGACCATTTCCATTTGACTGAAAATAAGACGAATTACAAAATTAGAAAAAGATTAATGATTATCTCTAAATTTTGCCTATTTCCTCAATGCTCAATTGAATTTATTTGTTTGTGTTGCTATGGTTCAATTTTAGCTAATAAAATAGTTGTAAATTTAAAAAAGGAAATTTCAAGTGATTTAGCGTAAAGAAGTAGCGGAAAAGTCCAATGTTGATTTGGTTTTGATTGGTGTACTGGTTTAATTGGTGTACTGGTTTGATTGGTGTACTGGTTGTACTGATTGGTGTACTGATAGTACTGATTGTGCTGGTTGTACTGATTGTACTGGTTGTACTGAATGGTGTACTGATAGTACTGATTGGTGTACTGATTGGTGTACTGATTGTACTGATTGGTGTACTGATAGTACTGATTGTACTGGTTGTACTGAATGGTGTACTGATAGTACTGATTGGTGTACTGATTGGTGTACTGATTGTACTGATTGGTGTACTGATAGTACTGATTGTACTGGTTGTACTGAATGGTGTACTGATAGTACTGATTGGTGTACTGATTGTACTGATTGGTGTACTGATAGTACTGATTGTACTGGTTGTACTGATTGTACTGGTTGTACTGAATGGTGTACTGATAGTACTGATTGGTGTACTGATAGTACTGATTGGTGTACTGATTGTACTGATTGGTGTACTGATAGTACTGATTGGTGTACTGATTGTACTGATTGGTGTACTGATAGTACTGATTGTACTGGTTGTACTGATTGTACTGGTTGTACTGAATGGTGTACTGATAGTACTGATTGGTGTACTGATAGTACTGATTGGTGTACTGATTGTACTGATTGGTATACTGATTGTACTGATTGGTACTGATTGTACTGATTGTACTGATTGGTGTACAAAAACAAATGAATTTCATTGTAGATTGTACCATTGTGATACTTCTTGACATCAAAAAATTTGCAACTTTAAATCCTAAAGCATTTTCCCCGTTTTATGCTTTAGGAAGTACTTCACTGGTTTCGATTTTCACTGGTTAGCGTAAAGAAGTAGGGGAAAAGTCCAATGTTGATTTGGTTTTGATTGGTGTACTGGTTGATGTACTGCTTTCGATTTTCTAAAATTGTTTTAGGTTTAAAGTTCAAGTGAATGATGATGCTAGTAAAAGTAAATGCTTTAGGATTTAAAGTTGCAAATTTTTTTGATTTCAAGAAGTATCACAATGTCTAACAATCTACAATGAAATCCATTTGTTTTTGTACACCAATCAGTACAATCAGTACAATCAGTAAAATCAGTACAATCAGTACAATCAGCACACCAATCAGTACAATCAGTACAATCAATACAATCAATACAATCAATACAATCAGTACAATCAGTACACCAATCAAACCAGTACACCAATCAAAACCAAATCAACATTGGATTTTTCCCTTACTTCTTTACGCTAACGAGTGAAAATCGAAACCAGTGAAGTACTTCCTAAAGCATACAATGCTTTAGGATTTAAAGTCGCAAATTTTTTTGATTTCAAGAAGTATCACAATGTCTAACAATCTACAATGAAATTCATTTGTTTTTGGTGAATTAAATTTGACTTAAAACTTCATTTGAAATTCAAAAAATTCAAACTCACTGATAACACTCGGTTTTCTTTTGTTACTCGTGTCGAGAGGCCATTTGTTAACAAGCTGAAAGAGAAGAGATTTTGGATAAACTTTAAATTTTAACTTATTAGACTTAGAAAGTTTTTCGAAAAGTGATTTCAGTGATTTGAGTGATTTTGATTTCACAGTGATTCAGGGAAAGTTGCACTCATTTTTTTACGAGTAATTTTCTTGGAGTTGACTTGTAAATGATAGAAAGAAGTGTTCTTGAATTGGTGGATTCGTTTTTATGAAATACTAGTTCAAATCTGTGCAAAGATCTTCTTGTTAATCTAATAGAGAAACAATGAACGAACTTTTGTATCCTCATTGACCAATCGCTCCAATTTGTTCGCTGTCATTTCCTGGAAAGAAATTTGCGTCTTTCAATCTCAATGGCTACAAGAAATCGAGCGTTAGTTTTAATTCGATGCGAACTTTTTGATCTAATAAAAATACCAATTTGTTATCATGTTAATACCAATTTGTTTTTATCAAATTGTCAAATCAGACTGTTTAACTCAAATGAATCAAATGAATCAATTAAATGAAATGAAATTGCACACCAAAAATTTAAGAGTTAAGGAATCGAATGGAGAGATAAGGAACCAAATTTAGAGAGATAAGGAACCAAATTTAGAGAGATAAGGAACCAAATAGAGAGATAAGGAACCAAAACCAAACCCGACTGGTTAGGAGTCTTGTCTCCTAATCGGAAGGTCGAGATTTCGATCTCGCTGGCAAAATCAAGTGTGTTCTTTTTCCCATTAAGTTGGGTTTTTTCTTAACTACATTGTAGGGGTAAAAATTGTGTCCTCCGTTGTGTTGTATCCACTTATTCATGTTGAATAAAGTATCTTTTTTTAAATTGAGAGAGATAAGGAACCAACTTCAGAGAGATAAGGAACCCAATTCAGGGAGATAAGGAACCAAATTTAGAGAGATAACGAACCAAAGTTAGAGCGATAAGGAACCAAGTTTAGAGAGATAAGGAACCAAATTAAGAAGAATAAGGAACCAAACTTTGAGAGATAAGGAACCAAATTTAGAGAGATGTGGAACCAAATATAGAGAGATAAGGAACCAACTTCAGAGAGATAAGGAACCCAATTCAGAGAGTAAAGGAATCAAATTTAGAAGAATAACGAACCCATTTAGAGAGATAAGGAACCAAATAGGGGAGATAAGAAACCAAATTCGGAGAGATAAGAAACCAAATTGGAGAGATAAGGATCCAAATTTAGAAGAATACGGTTCACAGTTCAATCACACTCAATTTCAGGTATAAGAGACAAAGCAATTTTCCAATTTCTTTGTGTGACGCTTCTTTTTTTTTTAAATCGACAAAAGTTAACAAATTGTTTGAAGTAATTTAAAAAGCTCACAATCAAATCCAAGTCGATCGGCCCATCTTGGCTGATTTTGCTGGAGAAAGCTTTGAAGAGGGGCTGAAATTGGGAGGATGCGAAAAAAAATAATTACCAAAAACTAATTGCACAGTTTTTACTCTATTATTTGACAGATTTAAAACTTAATTTTTGTTTCTTTTTATAATCTTGAATATTTTAGCTAAATATATTTAAGAATTGAAGTTTTTCGTTGAAAAATTTTTTAATTTGACGTAAACTTTTGTGTTTTCAATGTTGAGTTTTCGATTTCTTCGATTTTGTTTTATTTTCTTTTCTTTTCAGCTTTTTTAATTATTAAGATATCGAGTTTTTTAATAGATTTAGATCTTTGATATCAATTTAAATTTGTTTTTTTTTTGAAAAAAACCTGGTGAAAAACGGTTGGCGCTTTGTTGTAAATCGGCGCCTCTTTGGAACGATTCGGATCGACGAATTCGACGTTTACCGTATCGGAGGCGATCTGAAAATTTCAACTAACGGCTCTACTGTGGCTTAAATGAAATTTGTTTCTACTTGTGTTGTTAGTTGGTTAGTTTTCTATTAGGTTTAGTACTATGCGTTTGTATGCTCTCTTTATTGATCGTTTTAGAAACGGTGAATCGACCAAAACATAAACGGTTTTTTTTATTGAAAAACCCTATCTTTTTCAACAAAATTCTTCTCAAATGTTTTAAAAAAGCGCTTATTTTGAGAAATTTCAAGAGGCAAGAAGGCGAGTTGTCAAAATTAAAAGAGAATTGAGCGATTTGAGCGAGATTTGAGCGAGATTTGCGCGAGATTTGCGCGATATTTGAGCGATTTGAGCGAGATTTGAGCGATTTGGGCGATTTGCGCGATTTGCGCGAGAGCTGAGCGATATTTGAGCGATTTGGGCGATTCGAGCAATATTTGAGCGATATTTGAGCGATTTGAGCGACTTGAGCGAGATTTAAGCGATATTTGAGCGATATTTGAGCGATTTGGGCGATTCGAGCAATATTTGAGCGACATTTGAGCGATTTGAGCGAGATTTAAGCAATATTTGAGCATTATTTGAACGATTTGACTTTTCTTTATCTTTCTCTTCTAAGAATTTACTTCCAAATTTGCATCATATTAAGCCAAAATTTGTTTTTAAAAACCTAAAATGAAACACTTAACACTTTTCCATTTTAGCGATTCAACGTTTGTCTGAAGAAAACTTGGTAATAAAAAAAGAAATAACGAGCAATGATACTAACCTAATACTAGCATTGTTATTGGAAATTCGTTTTTTTTTTTACTTAATAAGTTTGAAACCTAAATTATTAAACGAGTACGTGCCAATGTTTGTCGATTTCTAAGCACATCAGAACTTGAAGAAAGGTCATTTTTAGCTATTTAACTATGGCTCAACAAAGAATAAATAAAAAACCGTCGGAAAAAACGTTTGTGTGAGAGTATTGAAGAATTTGAGAGCAAAACGTTTAAAAAAACCTAATACCGTATTTTCTCTGATAGTTGTGCACCCTGAGCGTCGCCTAAATTTCTCTAAATCTCGAGAACCGCTTATCAGAATCTATCGATGTGGGGTCGGAAAACGTAGCTGACGATGAGATCTAGTGAGGGATTAGAGGGTTGAGCTTCTGCAAAAGCTTGGAAACCGTAAAATAGTCACCAACTCGGCTCGCCGGGGTACACTACTATTAGAGAAAATACGGTAATAGGAAATGCCAAAAAGACAAGAAAGCAAATCCGGATCGATTATTACAAAACGCATTGCTATTTGAATCATTAACAATTTGAAACTTGATTTTTCAAATGAATTCAAACCTCTTCTTTTATGTCGACGGGTTGGATTTTCAAATAAAATAGAGTTCAAATAAAATAGATACCGTATTTTCTCTAATAGTAGTGCACCCCGGCGAGTTTTAGGTACATTTTTTTCGCAGGAAACTACGGATAATTAATTGGTAGGGATGACGCTTGTACCCAATAAACTTGAAACTAAATTTTTCAAATTAATAAGACTTTTATCTATTTTGGTTTTATTACTCAAAAAAACCAGGGTTTACCTGTTTCCAAAGTTGAAATTACAAATTGAAAACCCACTTTTTGCGTGATTTCCTCTTTTCCCTTTGCTTCACCGCTGATTTTATTCGTCTTTGTCTCGTCCAAAGATTCGGTGACTTTCTGGAATCAATTCGATGAGATTTAAAAAGAAAATACTATTGAATGCTTGATTTTTGGTTGGGATTGGCTTGGAATTGGCTAAAGAATTGACTAAAGAATTGGCTAAGGAGTTGGCTGACTAATTTCTTTTACTTTCACCAAGCATTTACCTCTAACGGAATGATGTCAACAATCGGTAGCTCGTGTCCCTCCAATTCCCTTGTCATATTCGCGATCATCCACGAAAGAGCCCGAGCTGTGTCACCTTCGATGAATGGCTAAAGGTTTGTGATAAAGATTTAGATTCCAAAAAATCACCACTTCCAAACAATTTTCATTTATTGAAATTTTAAATCTTATTTCTGATTGATTCAATAGTTTTAAACAATTGCTAAATTTATTTTTTATTTTAGAAAATTCTTTAAAAAGCACTACAAAGAATATACCGTATTTCTTCGAATAGAAGACCGGGTAAAGAGTATCATCGCGTACTCCTGCGTAGCAGCCCTTTCTAAAATTTCTTTTCTGCATAAAAGCTTTCAATCAAGTGCTATAGAGCTGGAAAATGACTCAAAAATCTGTTAGCTCATGTGGTATTTTTGAGCCATTTTCCAGCTCTATAGCACTTCATTGAAAGCTTTTATGCAGAAAAGTAATTTTAAAAAGGCTGCTACGCAGGAGTACGCGATGATACTCTTTACCCGGTCTTCTATTCGAACAAATACGGTAGTCAAATTTAAGGCTAAAAATTGATGTGAAAAATTTGAGCATAGTGGTAAAGCTACTTATTTTAAGTATTTTATTTTATTAAAAATTGGAAACGTTTAATTGGTCTAAACAAAAGAGCTCAAAGAGCTTCAGAAAAGAGCTCAATTTATGTTTTCAAATGTGCTTTTTTTGCTTTTTTGCCTTTTTTTTTGTTCATTTTTGGTTAAGACACAAATTTGTCCATTTTAATATTTAAAGTTTCACTTTTGAAAGAGTCTAAGTAGTCTGGCTTTATTGAATCAATTATCCGGCAACGATTCTTGATTGAATCAATTAAAGGTGTAACGAATGTTCCTATTAGGTTGAGGAAAAAGTAATGTCGGTTTTGAATTCCCGTTGTTGACGATTTTCCAGTTATTTCGGAACCGGGCTCCATCAGATTATTTTTTGTTTCGGTCATTGAAGAGTTTTCTTATGGGAGAAAAGCTCGAGAATCATGTACAGAACAAAAAAAGCAGTCGACACTTATTTTGGCTCGAAAACTCGCCATTTTTTTTTTGAAGATGGGATCAGGGACTTGCGACGAAGATGGGAACAAGTCATCAATAATAATGGAGAATATCTCATTGATTGATGTGCGTTTGTTTATTGTCTGTGACAAAAAACCGACATTACTTTTTGCTCAACCTAATATTATTCTGAATATAAATGTTTTCTTTTGATATAAAATCTTTTCTTACCGCTTGTCCCTCATCGAGCGCTTTCTGTCGAATGTCGTTCGTGGTTTTGTGCATCTAAAAAAACCCTACAATTGAAGATTTTTAGAGAAAGATTTATACACTAATACTAAAGCGCATTAGTAGTTTTTTTTTTGCTTTCAAAAAACTTTTCTAACTTTCAAAACAAACCTGTTTCTCAACGAGCTTCAATTTCTCTTCCAATGTCCTCGTTTCTTTGTAAATTCGCCTCTCTTTTGCGTTCATTCTTTCCAAATCCGGGATTTCCAGCGGGTTTTCGAGTTTCTAAATGTTTTAAAGAGTAGGTTTTTTTAAAAAATTACAATTGAAAGATATTGCCAATATCGTTAAAATTAAAACTACAGGGTGCGTCATAGTTATTGCAACAAGAGTTCAAAGACCGTTTTCCAAACAGCTTTCTTATTTTTTTTGCCCCCTTTTTTGTTGTGTTGCGTTCTATCTTCTTTATTCTTGCCTAATTGCCTCCCGCTCACACGAAGAAGACGGTTCAGGACTGGTGTGTGGCCAACTTTCCCTCAGTGATCACCAAGGATGAATGGCCTCCAAACTCACCGGATCTCAATGTGATGGACTTTTCCATTTGGGCAATCTTAGAGGCTAATGTCTGCTCTCGAAAACACACAAGTTTGGATTGTTTGAAGAAGTCTTTGACCAAAGGATGGAAGGCGACTCCTCAAGATGACATTCGGGCCGCAGTGGAGGCATATCCGAACCGATTAAGGGCTGTTATCAAGGCAAAAGGCGATCATATCGAATGATCTCTTGTTTCCTTATTTGTTACTGTTAAATAAAGCTATTTCTGTTTAAAAATCTTCTTCCAGTGAAACTTCTTGGTGTGCAATGCCTTGAGTATCTTGTTGCAATAATTATGACGCACCCTGTATTACTTTCCCCGACTCAAACATTCAAGTGGAAAACTTTCGGTTTCAAATAATTTGAGATATAAAAAGGAGTCCACTGGGTAGCGAATATTTTCCTTTCTCTTTCTAGAAATCCCCTTTTGCTTAAAAACTAGCATGTACGTTAAAGTACTATAAACGATTTGAAGTGACTAGGGAAAGGCACAAAGCTAAGGTGAGCTTTTGTCTGGACATCTAGAATCGGGTATGTGAATCGGTTCATGTGAAGCCGAGATCCGGAGTGTGACTGACGGACAGACGGACCGACACTTTTATAGTAGATTCGACTGGATTTCCTTATACTACGTTGCTTCAAATATTCTTTAAAGCACTGGGGTTGAGGTGAGCTGCTCCTTGGCCTCGACAATGGACCCTGGAATCGACTCCGACCCTCACTAACGAAAGGCCCGAACTCAAGATGAGCTTTTGTTTGAAAACCTAGTGCACTTTGTAGAATCGGGTATGAAGAATCCGAATCTGAAATCAAAAACTGCCAAATGACTTTCCTGGGATGTAAAACTTCAGTCGAAAATTGCTTTACGTTTGCTTTAAAAGGTTCCTCTCCTAACGAAGAGGAAGTACGTGGTTGGCCGAGTGGATAGCACTTTAAGCTTCCACCCAAAGCATCAGAGTTTAGCCCATGATGTAGCTTTTTGTTTTTGTTTTTCTTTTGGAGTAACTTCTAGCATTTTGCTGCCCATTTTGTTGCTCATTTTGCATTTTGCGGTCCAGACGAAAGCTCACCTTGTGTTCGTGCCTTTCCCTAACGAGCACTAAATGTTTCCCAAATCATCTTGGTCATTTCAATATTGATAGCTCAAATTTTTTTCCCTACCCTAGCATCACTTTCCATTTTCTCGATGATTGTCCCGATTTTGTCGATCGTTTGATTAATCGACCGGGTGCCCGTCTCCGATAAAACCAAATTATCCTTATCCTAAAGGAAAATTTCATTAAGATTAATGTTTTTTTTAATTCAAAATGTAAATTATTGAGTTAAAAACTTAAATCACAAGATTAGATGGAGGTAAATATTCAAAATGTTCAGTTTAAAAACGAATTTTCAGATTTATAGCGATCAAGTGTAATAAGAAAAGCAAATCAGAGAGAAAATAAGGCAAGAGATAACATAAGAGAACCCAATCACGATTCAGTTTCATCCATTTTTTATGTATTGGGTTGGTGAATTGAAAACTGCGGGCTATTGTCATCTGTGACAGTTTGAGCACTTTCTTCAAAAGAAACCAATTTTGGTGGTAATGGAAAAGTTGTAGAGAATCAAAAATGAAGCTTATATCCAAATTTTCAGAACGATTCAAAAACTGGTTTTCAAGAGATGCCAAATTTACGAATTTTCACAAAACTAGCATTTTAAGCGAAACTACTAAGTGTATATTTTTGGAAATTTGGCTATAAGCCTAATTTTTGATTCTCTACAACTTTTCTATTGACACCAAAATGGGTTTCTTTTGAAGAAAGTGCTCAAATGCTCAAACTGGGACATCACCAGTCCTCCATTTTTGAGTCTCACACTTGTCTCACACACAAACCAAAATCCTACTACGAAAGAGGAATCCGCAAATTGCCTGTAAAATGGGCAGAAGTCGTCAATAATAATGGAAATTATTTGGGATGAATTTATGATTTTATGTTGAATAAATTTTAGTTCAAGTTTTCAATTCACCAACTTAATATTTGATAAAAATGAGGCTTTTCCATGAAGAAAGGCGAAAAGGGAAGATTCTAGCTAGATTTGGGTTATAAGTGTAAAAATAAAGAGAATCTTTAAAGCAATTACTTATACTCATATACATATACTTATACTTATCATACTTAGCCTTTCATTCAATATTTTGAGATCCTTTTGCATTTGCATTTTGCACAATTCTAATCTGATTACCATTTTTGTTTTCCTGTTTCTCAAGCGTTCTCGTTTTTCCGCTTCAACTTGGGAAAAGTCGAAAATAGCCGGCTGGGGTAGGGCTGGTCTTCTGAAAAAAAGCGGATTTAAGGATTGAATAGATCTCAAGGTTTAAATACTCAAAAATCAAAATGTTTTTGCCAAAATTGAAACCTCACTTTTAATCTCACTTCTTTTTTCAATTTTTAATTTATTAGGTTGATGCATAAGTCTTTTTGTTTCTTTTCGTCTGCCGTTTCAAGCCAACAAATGCACCAATTAAACTACGGTTGATTTCATTAGAAAAAGCAATTATTTTTCTGCAAAATAACATTAAAACGGGTTTAAAAATATTTAATGCCTGGATTTTCTTGAGAGTATGAAGTCGGGTAGTCAAAAAGGGCTAACTCGATGATGCGGTTTAGACACCTTAGCTAAAGAAAACCTATCTTCGTGTCAATAGATAAAAGATAGAGAAAAAAAAACGTTTGATATTTCGCCAAAATTTCAGAGAAATTCATTCAGCCAATTTTTCCGTAGAGTTTTTTATAGATTTTTACGAAAAAGGCGTTTTTCACTCTCGAATTTGCTTCAAAGTGAACCGAAATTCATTTATTGGGTTGGGGAGAATGAGTCGGCGCCCAACTTTAAAGGGACTTTTTGCACACATAAAGCCTTTTTTAAACATACGTTTGGTTTCATCAAAAGGATCCACTATTTCTCTACAAAATGACTTTTGAGAGATTCCACAAAGCTTTTCTTTCGTGGAGTTTATGAACTTCCAAAAGCAGCTGGTTAAAATGGCAAAGAGTCCGACTCATCATTTGAACAGTTTCTTTCACATAAACCTTCTTTGGTGTTTATATAAAAAAGATAGAGCACATTCAATTACTTAAGTTGCCAAATTTGCAGGAAGATCCCACCAATGGTTTTTTCTAGATCACAGTTTGTAGTTTTTGTGAAAAAATGGCTTTTTCTTGAGCGGAGGCGCTGTTTGAATTTTCTTTTAAATGTCATTTTGTAGAGAATTAGTTAACCATTCTACTGATATCAAACGCATATTATTTGACGAAGTCGAATAGAAGTTTTAGACATTTGTTTCATTTTCGGCGCCGACTCATTCTCCCCAACCCAATAAAAAGATGCAAATTGAACAAAAAAACACTTTTTTTATAGAGCAAACTATAGATTAATTGGTGAATTTGTTACTTTTTAACAGAAGTACGAAAAAAACGAAAAGACTTATGCATCAACCTATTAAAATCAAAAAAAGTTTTCGGCTAAATTCAATGCTTTCAAATCAAAAACGGCTTTGTCAAAATTGAAACTTCAATTTTTAAGCTAATTTAAATTCTGATTTCAAACCTGTATTGAGAGACGGGTTGATAGGAGCTCTGATAGAAATGGGCACCGTTTTTAAACTGAAAATTTTGATTTATTGCACACGTTTCGATTAGGAATTTACTTTTTGGTGTTAAACGCTTAAAATTGAAATTCAATTCTTTTTTTTCATTGTCGAGGCTGATTTTTTTATCACTTTTAATTATTTCGGTAGTTTTCAACTAAAAAAAAACAATTGGAATTGAAAAAGCTAGTGGTCTCCATAAATATTGAAAACCATGTATTTGATTCAAAGTTTCCTATGTTTACTTGTTGCCGTTGTGGCTTGTTTTTTGGCATCACTGGTGATCTTGTTGGCATCAATCGTGGAATCGAGTCATCTAAAAGTTTACTTTTCCATAGCAAAACAGCAATGCAAAGAAGGAAAACCAACTAATTGAGAATTGAAAGTGCGATGAAAAGCTCTTAAAATTGAAACTTGGTTTTTGAATTTGCTTATCGGAAGTTTTTTTTTGAGAGCTTTACAACATGAGGAATGAGATGAACAATGGACAACGAGGACATGAGGAATGAGGTGAATAATGGAAAGCGATTGGGTAAAAGAAAAGACAAGAGTAGAGCCCAAACATTGTCTTTATTGTGGTGCTCTACTCTTGTCTTTTCTTTTAACCAAAAAAGCGGCAAATTTTGAAACGATTTCAATTGAATTTAAATTGAATTTAAATTCAATATGAATCTGTATTTTGTACTCCCATAAACGCACACTTGCTGGCGCATTTGATTTCTCTATTTCCTAGAAAAATTCACTCTTTCACCTCTCTCATCGATTGAAGCGATTCTCCTATCCAACTCCATCAAATCGTCGCTTGTCATCACCGGCATTTGCTCATTCGGATCGTTTGTTTCAATTTCTTCATACTGTTTGGTAGTCGGCGACGTGGTAGTGGTTGTCGTTGTCGTCTTTGCTGTTGTCATTCTTCTTGTAGTCATTGGCCTGATTGGCGGATTCACGTAGAATCGTGCCTAAAGTTGACAGGAGTTGACTCAAGTCTGTTAAAATAAATTACTACATTCTTTACTTATATTACTCGGAGCTCATCACTTCTTTTCAATTTTGAAACCCACAGTTTTCGGAAGTGGTCGGAAGGTAAGCAAATGTCCCACAATCGGAGAATTGTGGGGCATTTGATACGCGCCCTACCACTTTTGCCATTGACAATCCAACTTTGAGCTCAAATATCTTGGTGTTGGGCTATTCAATTTATAAATTATTGGTATCATTAGATGCGCTAAGCCTTTCTCTATCGATTAGTACAAAAACTATTTCAATTGGACAGCCCAATAGCAAGATATTTGAGTGCAAAGTTAGATTGCTGATGGGAAAAGAGGCGGAGCGCATATCAAATATCCCACAATCGTCAGTTATGACAGGATCTCAAAAGGTTCCACTCTCTTTAGCCTAACCCAAATTCTAGTCCAAATCCGTTTACACCTAAGACCAAACAGAAATGCATCCCTAGTGCCAATGGCAAAGGGGCGGAGGGGTGGGACACCTTTTATACGCGCCCCGCCTCTTTTCCCATCAGCAATCTAACTTTGCACTCAAATATCTTGGTGTTGAGCTGTTCAATTGAAATAGTCTTTGTACTAATCGATAGAGAAAGGCTTAGCGCATCTAATGATACCAATAATTTATAAACTGAACAGCCCAACACAAAGATGTTTGGGCTTAAAGTTAGATTAGGAAAAGGGGTGGGGCGTGTATCAAATGTCTGATAACCCAATCGAAGGGCTAGCAGATAACCAGATTTGAAAATTGATTTCTCTTTTTAGCTGCCCAAATTTGAAACTAATCCTTTCAAATTTAATAAACATTTGATTTATAACGAATTGTTGTACGGTATTGTACGGTATTGTATAGTATTGTACGGTATTGTACAGTATTGTACGGTGTTGTACAGTATTGTACGGTGTTGTACGGTAACGAACGGTATTGTACGGTAACGAACGGTATTGTACGGTATTGTACAGTATTGTACAGTATTGTACGGTATTGTACGGTATTGTACGGTATTGTACGGTATTGCACGGTATTGTTAACGAATTTGACTTTTGATTATTGCTAATATTTTTCTAAAACCCTATTACTCTTTTTCAATTTTGAAACCAACCGTTTTCTTTTCGCTTCTGGATGCAGCCGGTATTTGTACAGGCCCGTACTCGTCTTCCTCCATTGAATATTCAACAATTGGCTTTCGGATTTCCCCAGAGTGATGCGTATCTTTCTGAAGGGAAAGTAAACAAGAAAAGTCGAAATCGAAAAGTTTTAAGTACCGTAATCATTTCTTGTGTCCCAGTTTCTTCATAATCGAAATTTCTCTGATAATTCGGCAATCTCGTAGGCGAGAAACGGAGTTGTGTACCACCTGAGTTTTCATTCATTTTCTTGCTTTTCCAGGCAAATTTTCTAGTTTTAAATGTGAGAAAATGAGCGGATTTAACTTTGTCAATCATTTTTTAGATTTCTTTTTGGTTATCTTTGTAGAATGCTTTAAATTTTAAATGAAATTTGTTGAATATTGGAATTCTTAATTAAGCTTATTAAAAAAAGAACAGAAAAGTTATTTAGAAGAAGAAAACGCTTTAAAATGCTACTTTTTTCAAAGAAGACTGAAAGCTTAATATCTCAAGATTATCGACTTTATTGGAAAGGCTACCTAAAAGCAAAGCTACCTAAAAAACGAAAGCTTTTCAGTTTTTAGAACAAAATCCAGCTCAAAATGGAATTAACATAGATTCGTTTCGCTGACAAAATTTCTTTTATAACCTACTTCCTTTTTTCTCTTTAAGCAACGCCAACTTCTCGTCGAGGGTCAGCGGTTTCATGTTCGACTGAAAATTGGAAGTTTTTATTTAAATTTTAAAGAAAAAAACAACAATGAGACTATTGAAGAGGTTGAAAGTTCTTTGAATCATAATCACCAAGTAAAGCACTCAGACAAAGTCACTAGTTGAAAGCTGAGCAACTTGTAACATTGTGTTTTCGGACATTTTCATGTCATAGCTCTTACTTAATGAAAATTAGCTTATCCTAAAGGTTTTTCTTTAAGTTTAGGGGATTTTAGACTTTTCGGAATCAAAAGAATTACAGGATACCGTATTTTCTCTAATAATTGTGCACCATGAGCGTCGCCTAAATTGCTCGAAATCTCGAGAACTGCTTATCAGAACCTATCGATTTGGGGTCGGAAAATGTAGCTGATGATGAGATCTAGTGGAGGATTAGAGTGTTGAGCTTCTGCAAAAGCTTGGAAACCGTAAAATAGTCATCAACTCGGCTCGGCGGGGTGCACTACTATTAGAGAGAATGCGGTAGTTGAATTTGCACAATAAAATTTTAAATAACAGCAAAAATTGAAGTGAAACAAAGACAGATTGGATTTGAATAGCGTATTTTCTCTAATAGTTGCGCACCGTGAGCGTCGTCTAAATTCCTCGAAATCTCGAGAACCGCTTATCAGAACCTATCGATTTGGGGTCGGAAAATGTAGCTGATGATGAGATCTAGTGGAGGATTAGAGTGTTGAGCTTCTGTGGAAACTTTGAAAGCTGTAAAATCGTCATCAACTCGGCTCGCCGGGGTGCACTATTATTAGAGAAAATACGGTAATAGGAAATGCAAATCCGGATCGATTATTACGAAACGCATTGCTATTTGAATGTTTAACAATTTGAAACATTGATTTCTCAAATGAATTCAAACCTCTTCTTTTATGTCGACGGGTTGGAGTTTTGGATGAGTGATTGGTGGGGTTGATTGGGGAGTAGTTGCCATTGTTGTAGTTGTAGTTTGTGTGATTTTTGTGGTAGTTGGATAGACTCGACTTGGTGCAATCTAAAGTACTACTAAAGTACTTTGTAAAAGCTTGCCCGCCAGTACAAGTTGATTTGTAAAATTAGAATGTAAAAAGAATTTGTAAAATTTTCTCCACAATTATAATTTGATTGGCTATAACATTTGAATTAAATGAAAAAAAATGGTTAGAAGAATTGCTAAAGGATTAATATTTGCTGGCATAAATAAAGTAAATGAGTAAAGTTGAAACATTGCTTTCTTAAACAGCAAACTGCTTGAACTGTTTGACAAACTTGACAACAACAAACTGCTTGACAAGTTTACTTTATAAATTTCTCTAATTTAATAATTTCAGTTTCTTTTCAGTTTCTTTTTAGCTAATTTATTTGAAAGCAAGCTTACGCTTTGTGTTTCCATTATCGTTTTGATGATTTTCGGGGACATTGTCGACATTTGACTCATTGAATTCTGCCCATTCAATTTCACAAACGGTTTTTTGAAACCATTCATTTCATCGAGAATATTTTTCTTCTTATAGATCGGTGGACGAGTTTGGTAGGCTGAAAAAAGAAAAAGAATCTTGCATTTTTAAGCTAATCAAAGTTGTCGGGTTTCTTGTCAATGCTAATGATATTCTCTGTAAATTGTTAGGTATTTATATTGTAAATTGTTAAGTGTTAAAAGTACTAGAATATAGTACTCATGATACACATTTCAGTAATATATTCTAATACTCTACCAATGCTTTGCACTGTACTATAACAGTACTATGCACTTGTACTATGTACTGTACTACGTAAACAGTTTACATAGCATTTAATATGTATAGTATTATTGTAAGTGATAAAAGAAAATTCGCATAATCGAAAATTTCGTCCTATCCAGCTCTTGTCCGTTTTCCGGGTCTTTTTAAAAATTTCTGGCATAATCATTTTGTTTTCTTATTGTATTTTCCAATGTTACCGTATTTTCTCTAATAGTAGTGGACCAGTAGAGCCGAGTTGATGACTATTTTACGGTTTCCAAGCTTTGCAGAAGCTCAACACTCAAATCCCCCACTAGATCTCATCGTCAGCTACATTTTCCGATCCCACCTCGATAGGTTCTGATAAGCGGTTCTCGAGATTTCGAGGAATTTAGACGACGCCCAGGGTGCACTACTATTAGAGAAAATACGGTATTCAAATCCAAATCTGTCTTTGTTACACTTCAATTTTTGCTGTTATTTAAACTTTTATTGTGCAGATTCAACTACCGCATTTTCTCTAATAGTAGTGCACCCCAGCGAGCCGAGTTGGTGACTATTTTACGGTTTCCAAGCTTTCGCAGAAGCTGAACACTCAAATCCCCCACTAGATCTCATCGTCAGCTCCATTTTCCGACCCCACATTGATAGGTTATGATAAGCGCTTTTCGAGATTTCGAGGGATTTAGGCAACGCTCTGGGTGCACTACTATTAGAGAGAATACGGTATCTATTTTATTTGAACTCTGAGTTATTGTTTATTTTTTTTTCGTTCACTTATTTAGCCATTATTGCATCACACGATCAACTTTTTATTGCCTATCCTATTGCTTAAACTTACGATATCAGTATTTTGGCTTTAGATAATTGTGATCTGTCTTTGTTGCTAATAAATTACGATTTAAAATCAAAAATCCATAAATAAATAAAGGCTAGGAATATTTAAAAGTCTTGAAAAACGGAAAACAAGAAAAAATCCTAGTTTTAATGTGAAAACGGTGAGTTTAGGTGGGCAAATTTTACGCCGATCCTCAAAATTGCTGTTTAAGTTTTTTTTTCGACTACATTCTTTTTAATAACTTTTTTATTAACATTTTATTACCTTTTCTCATTGAGAATGGCGTTTTAATCTTTGAATGTGCGACTCCATTCTCGTAATCCTCGTACAATTGTGACATTGCGAGCTTTCGATCCTCTGAGTACGGATCATCAAAGCTAAAGGTGGATTTGAAAGAAAGTTTCAAAAAAAAAATTCACCCATCACCATTCAAACTCACCCATCATAATCGATTTCTTTCGGCGACTCGGTGGGCTTTCGATTGTCACAAGTTTCGAACTCCTGAAATTGTGAAATCGAATTCAATACTTTCGATCAACTCAATGCTTTCAATCAATTCAATACTTTCAATCGATCCAAGGCTTTCAATCAATTCAATGCTTTCAATCAATTCAATGTTTTCAATCAATTCAATGCTTTCATTCAATTCAATACTTTCAATCGATCCAAGGCTTTCAATCAATTCAATGCTTTCAATCAATTCAATGCTTTCAATGCGAATCGAATTTACTTCGATTTTACAGACTTTTTCTTGAGCTAAACAAAAGGGGAACACTTTTACATTTTCTTATATTAAGTAGTGCAAGAAAGTCTTTGCACAGATTTGACCTATTACCTATTCATTAACTCATTAAAAACTTATCTAAACACTCAACAAGTAATTACATTGAACAGTAACAATAAAATATCAATACCAATACCGTCGAAACTTTTTCCGAGAACTTTCTTTTCAATCTAATAAAAACCTAGAACTATCTCACGTCCGCTCAGCGTCAAACACTTTGAAACTTAGAAAATATCGAATAAATAATTTGTTTTGAAAAGATAAGTCATTAAATTTTCTTACATTCGCTAAACGCCGAGTAATTTGAAACTGAAAAATTCCAAGTTGCAATTTTGAGATTTGGAGTTATCGGAGATTTTTGTTTTTGAAAAAAATTCTTTTTTTTTAATCTGCTCTTTGGTTTTGATTTTTTTTGTTTCTTTAAAAGTTTGAGGTTTTTTTTATTTTTAGAACCAACCTTGTTGTGCCCGATGCATTTAAATCCTTTCACAGTACTACAAGCGCGCACCCTTACACGGACATTATTCGAGCAAAATGACCACGGCGACCATTGGGACCACTCCGAGCTCATCACTAAAAAGCGAATTTTGCAAAACTAGCTATTATCGTTGTTTCGTTTACGAATTTGTTCTCGATAACTTTGAAACTTCATTTTTATCATACGCATTTTTTAACGCAGTTTTCCGTTGTTTAAAAATCTCTTTAAAAACAATCTCTCTGTCAAATTCGTAATTTCAACTTTGTTTTTCATTTAAACCAGCTTTTGAGCCACTTTTGATCAGCTCATTTTGGTGGACTTAATCTGGGCTAATTCTTTAATCGATTCTTTTGAAGTATTCATTCAAAATCCCCGAGCCGATGCTGTTTATTAGATTGACAGATGAAATTGTCAAACTAATAAACAGCATTGGTAATATTAATTGATATTAAAATCAGATGAAATTGTCTCATCAATGTAAACGCCAAATTTATATTTAATTTATAAAATGCTTTCTAAGCCAAATCGGTCGACATTTACGTCGCGGATTTGTTTAAGATCATAAAAGTCAAGGATTTATACTTTAGTGTTTCTACAATCGTTTGTAGTCTGATCTTATAGTTTATAGGGTTTGTATTTAATAGTGAGTGCTTAGATAGTGAGTGCTTTACATAGAAAAAGTAATGTTTCAATAATTGATCGGGGTTTGGTTTGAAAATAAACGGGGTAGGCTAACTTCCGCAAGTCAAGGATTTATACCGAGTGCTGTAGGTAACCGCACCCATATGGTGAACTGGTTCCCAAGACCGGTCCCCCCTAGGCCCCCTCCCCACGGGATTGGGATAACCAGGGGTCCAAATGGGTAGACTTGTCTGAGGCGCAAGCTCATATAAAGCGGGTAGCCTTCTCCTCCTACATCGTCTCCTACGTCGTCCCATCCTCACAAACGATAGAATATTCCCTAGATCTTAATGTGTAAATTGTGATTATGTGTGTGCAAAAATAAATCACCGGTAACCCCGGTATACATTATTATACTTTAGTGTAGCTCTGATTGGTGAAAGTATTGCTCTTCAGTATTGCTCAAGTCAAAGCTTTTATGAAAATTAACCGCTCAAATTTCGGTCTTATTTTAATGATTTTGAAACTAAAAACTAGAAGAATTAAGTGATAAATGAAGATTTGAAAAGGCTTTAGTCAGAAATTGTAAAAAAAAAAAAAAGAAAAAATCTGTACTGTCTGATCCAAAAATTCGATTTACCAAGCTAATTCAAAATATTTTGTTTATCCAATCACAAAAATGATTTTAACAATCGAAAACAAATCGATTATTGCTAAAATCCACTCAACTTCAACGCCAAAACATAAAAAAACCAAAATCCTGGATCGCTATTCGTTTATTTGGGGTAGACTAATTTCCACATTTTTTTGCTCAACTGGATCGTTTGCCCAACTCGCCATAACTTTCTTCTAAATCGACCAATCTTTATGAGTTTGGTTTCGTTTTTTTGCACTTATTGAGATCTACAAAATGACACCAAAAACATAAAGATTGGCCGACTTAGAAGAAAGTTATGGCGACTTGCGAACGACCAGTTGCGTAAATGACCCTGTTGCGCAAAAAAAAAATTTGGAATTTAGTCTACCCCGTTTATTTTCAAACCAAACCCCGATCAATTATTGAAACATTACTTTTTCTATGTAAAGCACTCGCTATCTAAGCACTCACTATTAAATATAAACCCTATAAACTATAAGATCAGCCTACAAACGATTGTAGAAACATGTAGAATAGAGATTTTTGGAAACTTTTTTCTACCAAAAAAATCATGCTAATTTTAGGCTTTCGAATGACACCAAAAACAAGCGAAATCATTTTTCTCTACTCTGAGATTTAACGTTTTCTTTTCAGGTTTGTAGTTTCGTCCTGTTTCAGGACGACAAACGGCTATAAATGGCTCATTCTCAAGGTACAAATGGTGAATTTTCTCGATTTTAGTATCATTCAAGAGCCTAAAGTTGGCACGATTTTTTGATAAAAAAGCTTTTTAAAAATATCTATTCTACGCAATTCTACAAAGGTTTGTAGTCCGATATTGTAGTTTGTAGCGTCTGTGTCCACTCACTGTATAACAGCTCGACATTTTGCGGTGTTGGCGTGACGAAATTGAAGAGAAGCAAAAATATTAGGAGTTTCATTGTGGAGTTTGTTTGACGTTTATTTGTAGAATGGTTGAAACACAAAGGTTTTGCTTTAGCTGAGAATATGAATAGAAAAAAGAATATAAAAAATGCTGAAAGATTGGCACCTGAAATATCGAAATATCTTGAATTTGATCAATTCACCAAAATTTTTTATATGAAAATATTGGGTTGGTGAATTGAAAACTGCCGGCTATTGTCATAGGTGATAGTTTGAGCACTTTCTTCAAAAGAAACCCATTTTGGTGTCACTGGAAAAGTTGTAGAGAATTAAAAATCAAGCTTATATCCAAATTTTCAGAACGATTCAAAAACTGGTTTTCAAGAAATGCCAAACTTACGAATTTTCACAAAACTTGCATTTTAAGCGAAACTACTAAGTGTATCTTTTTGGAAATTTGGCTATAAGCCTAATTTTTGATTCTCTACAACTTTTCTATTGATACCAAAATGGGTTTCTTTTGAAGAAAGTGCTCAAACTGGGACATCTCTAGTCCTCCATTTTTGAGTCTCACACTTGTCTCACACACAAACCAAAATCCTACTACGAAAGAGGAATCCGCAAATTGCCTGTAAAATGGGCAGAAGTCGTCAATAATAATGGAAATCATTTGGAATGAATTTATGGTTTTATGTTGAATAAATTTTAGTTCAAAGTCCGTCAGTTTTCAATTCACCAACCCAATACTAGTGCACCCCGGTGTACTGGGAGCTGCTGTATAGCAAGACGACCCTTAATGCAATCAAATACAGTGAACAGTTCGGAAAGGTGAATGGATCCCTAAAGAAGAATAGGTCCTCCAAGTCAAAGATCGTTCTCATCCACGACAACGCGCGCCTTCATGTTGCAAAACTGACTCGCTCTAAAATAAATGGCCTTGTTTGGGAACTTTTGGCGCATTCCCCATACATTCCGGACCTCGCCCCTTTTGATTACTATTTATTCCGGGTCATGAGTAATAAGCTTTCGGGAGAATACTTCGATTCGGAAGAAGCAGTCAAAAATTGGCTTTGAAAGTTTTTCGATCCAAAAGCAAAATCCTACCACGAAAGAGGAATCCGCAAATTGCCTGTAAAATGGGCAGAAGTCGTCAATAATAATGGAAATTATTTGGAATGAATTCATGGTTTTATTTTCAATAAATTTTAGTTCAAAGTCCCGCAGTTTTCAATTCACCAACCCAATAGTTCGAAAATTTTTGTTTGCTGATTGGAATTTGAAAAATTTAGCCTCATTGATAAATCTCTTCAAATTTTTATTGGGAATCGATTGGATTTCAAATTGATATTTGAAAGTGAGTGGATTTGAAACTTGATTTTTTGGCTTGGCGATGCAGCAGCGCTTTGTTTGGGCTTATAGTCAAAAATGTAAAAGCACCCTTTCTGGAGCACTTAATTCTTGATTTTTCTTGCGGTAACGGTTGGTATCACAAGAAAAATAAAGAATTAAGTGCGCCAGAAAGGATCTGCTTACAGGTTTAGGCATAAAAGCTTGCATTGCTAAGCATTGCTCAGCGAAAGTTTAGAATGTAGTCGTCAATATTGAAACGAGTTTTAAGGGGCGATGAAAAAGAAAATCAGTCATGAAATTGGATGCTTCAAAGAATTGTTATAGAATCTGTGATAGAATTGTTATAGAATTTGTTATAGAATTGTTCGAAGAGTCAATAAATTACATTTCAAGACTTGTAGATGTTAGTTATCGTTAAACTTGCAAAACTTGCAGCTAAACTTCCAAGCATTCATTGATTGTAAGCCCATTAATTAAGCTGATAGATTTGGTAACTTTTAGCTGAAGTTATGAACATGGTATTCTTCAGATGAAGTCATGGAAACGGTAACTTTTAGATAAAATTATAAATGTGGCATTATTTGACTACTTTGACTATAGCATCAATGCCTTTTCACTACTTTGAAAAAGAGCTTTCAATTTTCAAAAGAGCTTTCAATAGAGAAGAGTTCGAGAAGATAAAACGAAAATTCAAAACCTGTGCTATAAAGAAAACTTGTTGAAATCTATTTTCTCCGTAGAATCAACCGGATAAACGTTTGGTCAATCAAAAAATTCGCTAACGAGCTAAAAAATGGGTGATGCGAGTCGTTTTCTTTTCCCGAATTTGCTGAGAATTTCCCTTTTTCCCCCTCTCATTGAAATGAGCACGAAGGAGAAACGGATTGACCCAAATTTGAGAAGAAAACTCTCATTTTTTTGCTCTTTCGCAAATCAATGAGAATCAGTGTTGATTGCGGCAAAAAAAAATCAGTCGAACAGATTTTTTAGGAATCAGTGGATTTCACTTACAATGAGAATTGGATGATTGAGATTGGATTGAGCAAAAATCAAGTGTAGAAAGGAGATTTCAGTGTAAATGTAAATGTAAACGTTCAATGTAAATGTAAAGGTAAATTGTTCGAAGCTAAAACTCTAGAAAGTCTAGAAAGCCTAATAACTTGCCTAGAAAGCCTAATAACTTGCCTAGAAAGTCTAGAACTTCTAGCCTTCTAGACTTCTAGACTTTCTAGCCTTCTAGCCTTCTAGACTTCTAGACTTTCTAGCCATCTAGGCTTTCTAGGCAAGTTATCAGGCTTTCTAGACTTTCTAGACTTTCTAGGCAAGTTTCTAGGCTTTCTAGGCTTACATTTACATTGAACGTCAGTGTAAATGTAAATGTAAACGTTCAATGTAAATGTAAATATAAATGTAAATATAAATGTAAATATAAATGTAAATATAAATGTAAATATAAATGTAAATGTTCAATGTAAATGCAAATGTAAATGTAAATTCTTGTAAATAGAAGATTTCAAAACAAAGAGCAATTCATTTAAAAAAAGAAGAAACTTGAAAATCTATTAGGCTATCTTTGATTCGCAAGAGCATGCATAACTTGAAACTTGGCCTTTGAAAAAAGTCTAAACTAAATTGAGAACTTGTAAAAGCCGTTTAGTACAAAGTGTTTAGTCTTCGTGGATTGAGCAGTCTTGAACTAGATCGTACATCCATATAAAAACCTCTCCTCTCCGATGGTCGATCCGGACTATAGAACAAAAAAAGCTTTACTCTTCTATATCAGATAAGTGCTCGGGAAAAGAAAGATTATATTTTTAGTGGTTTGGGTGGAAAATTTCAGGCATAAAACCTACAAGCTGAAACAGCGACAAAAAATTTCAACAAAACGATCGGATCTCGATTTCTTTGGCTTCCAGGCTACCATGTCAAGGACAAATTTTTGGGTGAAAGAAAAAAATTTATAGCAAATAATTACTGAAAATGAAAATGAAATGAAAAGAAAATCTTTATGCAATATTGCTTTTATCTTGTCTAAAGATCTAGACTCAGAAAAGGTCTCCTTATTAAAAATCATTTGATACGCGCCCTACCACTTTTGCCATTGACAATCCAACTTTGAGCTCAAATATCTTGGTGTTGGGCTGCTCAATTTATAAATGATTGGTATTAGTGCACTTCTAGTGCCAATGGCAAAGGGGCGAGGCGGTGGGACACCTTTTATACGCGCCCCACCCCTTTTCCCATCAGCAATCTAACTTTGCGCTCAAATATCTTGGTGTTGAGCTGTCCAATTGAAATAGTTTTTGTATCAATCGATAGAGGAATACTTGGCGCATCTAATGATACCAATAATTTATAAATTGAACAGCCCAACACCAAGATATTTGAGCGTAAAGTTTGGTTCTCAATGACAAAGAGATGGGCGTGTATCAAATATCCCCCAGTCGTTAGATATGACAGGATATCAAAAGGTTCAACTCTCTTTAGCTTACCGCAATTTTTAGTTTACAGCAAATCCGTTTACAAGCTTTACAAGCGTTTACAAGCTACAAGTTTACACCTAAGACCAAACAGAAGTGCACTTCTAGTGTTTAAAAAGTAAAGCTTGTGTTCGGGGAAAATTAGAGCAAAATGAATTAAACGAAACCATTGTTTTTTTTTTCAATGCTTGCACCATTTAAAATCCCGTCACTCACAATTTTTTTAGTATTTTCACCGAGATTTGCCATTTTTTGAAGTAAACTCGAAGAATTCCCGCAATGCCATCTTTAATTGGCACTCAAAAATGTGGAGGTGGTTGGAAAGTGTTGAAACTTGTAATTTTCATCAACTTTCTAGGGTTTTTCTTCAATTGCCACCTTTTTTAGTTGCTTGAAAATGTTATGATTAACGGGGTAAGTTTCAATTATCCCCGTTTAGGCAGTTTTTTTTTTGAAAAAGTTATAGAAGGGTTTTGAAAATTTCAAGTTTCAATGTGATTGGTGTAAAATAATGGCAATAATGGCAATCACTTTAATTCCTCTGCATGAGTCTCGGGATTGTCATTCTTTTCAAAATCAGCTTACTTGAGGTCCCATTTCGATTGCTGGTTTATTGTATTGGTTTAGCTCAGCTGGTAGAGCGTTGGTAAGCGTCGGTAAGAGTTGGTAAGCGTTGGTAAGAGTTGGTAAGCGTTGGTAAGCGTTGGTAAGCGTTGGTAAGAGTTGGTAAGCGTTGGTAAGCGTTGGTAAGCCTCGGCAAGAGTTGGTAAGCGTTGGTAAGCGTTGGTAAGCGTTGGTAAGCGTTGGTAAGCGTTGGTAAGCGTCGGTAAGAGTTGGTAAGCGTCGGTAAGAGTTGGTAAGCGTTGGTAAGAGTTGGTAAGCGTTGGTAAGCGTCGGTAAACGTCGGTAAGCGTCGGTAAGCTTCGGTAAGCGTCGGTAAGCGTCAATAAGCGTCGGTAAGCGTCGGTAAGCGTTGGTAAGCGTTGGTAAGCGTCGGTAAGCGTCGGTAAGCGTTGGTAAGCGAGAGGTCGCGGATTCGAACCCCAGGGCCGACAATATTTGCTTATTTTTCTCATTTAACCAATTTTGAGCTAAACTTTTTTTATTTTAAGCTTAGCAAGGGGAAATTTCGTCTAGTATTCTTTAAAAAAACGATTTTTTACAACTTTTCCTCACATGTTTTCTCTCGTGAATCATTTCGTTCCCAAGATTACGTCAACATCTCA